GAAAGTATGGACGTTTGTCAAAAATTGTTCTAATCGATCCTTAAAAATGCACAGCTTTTCTCGATTGGAACAGCTTTTTTTCAGTTTTGTGGTGACAGTCGTTCATACTTTAACTAGAGGGCTTTATTCGCACCTTACTTTTAGCATCCCGAGATTCACATCTCATACACTCAGAAATTTTTTCACTTAGATGTAACATGAAAACACACAAAAAAAATTTCCATCTAGTTTTTCACGTAAATTTTACGTTTTACATATGAAAGTTCAAATTTTAATCCACATACAACTCTAATAGGTAGTATAGGTTTTGGAAGTACATTTTACTTCATTTTCATGTAGCATCTAAGTGAAAATTACTCAAAGTGAAAAGATCTTCGCCCAATCCACTAGAAAACAACATAGATTTTATGGTACTTGCTAAGTAAATTTTATTATGTTTTCACTTAAATTTTAGTAAATTTCTTCGTAGTATCATCCATGGTTAGGAATTTTAAAATAATTTTTCAAGATAATAAAAATTGTATCGTTCAGAAAGCTGATAATATATTCCTTATAAAATAATAGATAACGATAACCCAAATAATAGAACTATTCCACAAATGGTTTGGATGATACCTAAATACTTCGTTAAGCAAAATAACCATAACAATTTTATTAGGGATGTCTTATGTGTTCCAGCAACTTCCGGCCAGCTGCACTTCCTCTGCCAATCTTTCGGGTGAGATCATTCCTCGTCAATTCCTCGTTCTAAAAACATACCATAAATAAATGGTATATCATGACAAAAATAAAACATCATACTTATCAGAAAATTCAACAAAAAGCAATTTTCACACTATAAATTCATGTAGAATCTAAGTGAAATTATCTGACATGAAATTTATTTAAAACTTATATATATTCATCTAAGTTCCAAAGCGTATTACATTCCCAAGTAACATTTTAAGTTTTATGAAATACTACAAAGCAACTATAAAACAACATTCATAAAACCCTGGTCAAGGCTATTTTGTCATTAATGCATCCACCAAAACCTCATTAACACTAAAATATGTCTAGTTGGTCCACCCTGGAAAAGGTTCTGAAGGGTGTACTCTCGAAGTTCTTCAGGATTGATTTACTGCAAAAGGTTGTATGACGAACGCATTGAGAACCAATTGAAAGCTACAATAAAAGCTATTTAGCAACAATAAAAACCCTTTCGAGCCATTTCCCCTAGCCGCATGCTGAATCCACTAGGAAACCTCGGGTAAGCCGCAAGTATTAGGCCCAACTTCTACTATCTATGTCTAATAAGTAAATTTTGGTAAAAGCAATGAACAATGAACTATCGGCTCCGTACAGCTAAACGAATAAGGCAAAGAAAAGTATCAATAGAAGTCGGCCCCACCATTGCCCAAAACCTTATGAGTGGTGTCAAGAGCAAAGTGCGGTCATTCGGTTATGGAGCGGAGATCCAATAAAGCAATGAAATAGAAACCCAACTATAATGTTGTAGTTTATATTGTAAGAAAATTTTATTAATTTTTGAGGATCATTTTTGTGTGTCTCACTTTTTTTTTTTGAGTGTAGTCTTTAATTGCGATCATTACATCAAGAGCAAATTTTCATTACGTCGAATGTAACAAAGGTAAACAAAGTCGAGCTATCAGTGTCAATCGAGGCTCCTGTTATTACACTATATACTGTACGAATATAGGATCACATCCCATTTTTAAATTTATTTACCAGTCGAACTGCTTTTTGACGTAATCACCTTCCGATCAAAATAGTTTTCGATGTTATTTAAGCACCCGATTTCTATGGAGATGCCGTTTGCCTTAAGTAACAGCACTGAGAAACCCGTGAAAAGTGTAATTTCGTCGTTTCGCTTTCTCATTATTAAAGTGAATAAATAGAACTGTTTGTTGCTAAGATGATTTCGGTGGTCCTAAAATGATGAATGGGCTGCACGTAAGGAGACGTAATTGATAATTCTCCCGAATATCCTGGTAAATACACTATGACTTAAGTAACAATAGGGGCCACCAAACGAAAGCTAGCGATTTGCCTTTGTATGATTAAAACCCGGCTAAATATGTTAAACATTGCTATCACTATGAGATTATATGTGTTTAATTGGAAATAGGAATAACATTTCGGTCATCAAAACAAAACTTTATTTTTCTCGGATCGGTGCGAATGTTACTTACGACATAATGAAAATTTGCTCTTGACATATAAAAATAATGCTAAACTCAGGGTGGCAATCTGTATCCGTCCTACCCTACACAGTATTGGTGTAGCGAGCTTTGATTTTCCCGGTCACAATTCCCCCAATGTATCTTATGCGATTATAGGTAGTAAAGTACCCATAAGACGTTATGTTTTTCTGGCCAGTATTGCACATTTTACACCACTTCTGTACAAAAAATATTTGCTCAGTAATATTAGCGATTGTCTAAACTTTTGGCAATTTTATTATGAACTGTCGACGCAGGGGAGGTGGGTATTAAAATCACTCAAAAAATGGAAAGTCTTATCAATGTTTCATCAAAATCGGAGAGGCTGGTGTCAGATTCCAGTTTTTCGGAGAAATTTTCCAATAAACTGCTCATTTGTATTGATTTATTACAGATTTCGCAAATCTTTTATACACAATTGTAAGAATGTTTTGCTTTTTCCAGTTTCGCAGCTGTGCACTGAGAAACATACCTTACGCGTGATAATCTTTGCACCATCGTACAAATAAGGTTCTCGTTTCACCTGTGCATACAATGCCTTGGTTTTCTTTGCATGCACGTAAACTATAGAGCTTTTTGACGTTTAATCGGCGCACACTACTGTACCATTTAAAGCGAACGAGTGCGAGCAAGAAGGAGACAGATTAGTGGGAAAACAAACCGTCCATTCATCCATGTGTGCTAGATAGAGAAAGATGATTAAACGTCAAAAAGGTCAATAGCTCATACCGTAGTAGCAACAATCAATACGAAACTAACGATTTTAAATTGGCTCACTACTTGACTAGCCTATTGGTCCCAAGCAAATCGATTAACGTACCCCATTCTAGTCGAAATTCTAGTACTACAGAATGTTTGTTTTGATTCGCTATGAAAGTTTGACGGATAAAATGAGGGGTTAGTGGATTTTCTTATGTTTCGAGGGGTGAATCGATTAGCTTGGGATCGAAGAGAGTACCAGAGCTGAGCCAAAAAGTTGAGCACGTTATTTCGGGACCTACTAGTCTTAGAGTTACCTCTATGGTAGTAGGCTGTGTATAAAAGAAAATGATTTACTTAGTTTGACAGTTGCACCATGACGAAGTGGCAGCGTATTCGTGATTTGTCCCACGCGCAAATGTTGCAAAAAGACATTTCAATCGCCGTGGGAGTGTCCCGGTGGACCGTCAAAAGGGTTTCAGACCGAGAACAAAAAGGACAACTATCCTCGAAGGTGGCCACAGGTCGTCCTAGGTCAGCTCTTGTTCCGAGGGTTGTCGCTGCTATCAAAAGGAAGATTCGGGTGAATCCCGTGCGTTCAATAAGGAAAATGGCAAAGGAACACGGGATCAGTGACTTTACGGCACGGAAGCTCGTAAAGGAAGATTGCAGGGCGAAGTCGAGGGCACGGAAAAAAACTCACATGATTACCAACCGCATCCGGGAGCTACGAGTCGAACGATGCAAGAAAATCTTGAACTTCATTAAGTGAAAAAATCCGGTAATCCTATTCACTGACGAGAGCATGTTTACCGTCGATCCCGTATCAAATTCCAGAACCAACCGTTATATTAGTTCTCTTCCGGTAAAAGACGTGGCCGACGAGCACAAGAACGTGTATCTGACCAAGCATCCTGCTAGCGTTATGGTGTTTGGATTGGTGGCTTCCGATGGCAAAAAAATGGACCCGGTGTTCATTCCAGAAGGCGACAAGGTCAACACGGAGGTCTACATCGGGATTTTAAGTAAGTATGTTCTTCCGTGGACCAAAGAACAGTACGGTCCGAAGCCAAATGTTGTATCTCCACAAAATAGGGCTCCGTGCCACACCTCGAACCGCACTCAGAAGTGCTTGCAGGAACATCTTCCGTTCTAGGCGAAGGATATGTGGCCGCCATCCAGCCCCGATCTTAATCCGCTGGATTACTCAATATGGCGCGTCATGAAGGCCAAGGCCTGTTCTAAACGCCACCCGAGTACAGCAAGCATCAGACAAACATTGACCCGTACCTGGAGAGAAATGGATCCAGACTACATTATTAGAACCTGCCGTGCATTCCAGAAGCGTCGGGAGGCCGTAATTGCAGCAAGTGGAAAGTCGATCGTTGATTAACATATTTTAAGACTCTGAGAAACATCCCCCCTTTGAATAAATAAAAAAAAAACGAAATTTTTGAGAATTTTTTAAATTTTGACATTGCTGAATGGTGCAAACATTATCACGCATACGGTATTTACTTGCATTTTGCTCCATCCCACTCAATCTATTCCAAATCAGGTCCTGATAATTCTCCCAAAATTTGAGCTCATTTGTTTGCGAACTCGTACTGACACTGGCCCTTCGAAGTTTATATGGGAATTACACATTTTCCCAACTATTGCGCATTTACACCAAACTGGACTAATAAGTGCGTTTTCACCTATTAAAAAGTGCAATGTGTATTGGTGTCTTCGGTGCACTTATTCCTTATGATGCAAGCAATAAGTGCTCCGAAAGCAAAAGCGATTCGACGGAAATGTGCACTTTTATCACACTTTTTGCATTTTTGGGACAGTTCAGTTTCAGATGCAATCAGCTAAACAACTTTTCTGAAGACCACTTTTTGGTTGAACGTCAACAAATTAGCTATTAATTGATGACAAAAACGTTAGCTTTCTGACATGATTAATCGACTGCTCAACCAAAAGCGTTCACATTTAGGGAGAATGGCCAGAACAGCTATATTAATCCACACTAATGCATATATTATATTTACATGCTTCAGAATACCCCCGTGACAGATTTGATCAATTACTTACTTTTGTGCTTGGAATTGTTTTTCCAAATACTCTTGAAGAACGCCATCTTCGCACCCGACAAGTTTCGGTTCCGAGTTTGGTAGTTTCCTGCGGATATCGGTAGTTGATTATCACCCAAAATCGCCTTCTTCCACTCGTTCCTCCTTTCCTCCAAGATCGCCTCTATCGATGCGAATGATTCAGCTTTTCCATACAACCCACACTCAGCGTTTATGCCGTGGAATTATTATGTTGCGATTGCAGTCGATCATCGACGTCAAACCTTTAGCGCGCTTGTACTGGAGTTCGCCGCAACCACCTCAACAACAACAACAACCGTCCGATATGGGCTGGTATTTGCGAGCGATGATGCACCACTTTTGCTTCTGACCGCGTCTCAAATCGCACGAGTTTCACTTTTAATTTATGGATTTAATTAATCGCGCCAAATATCGCACTTGGTGGCGGAGGTGCGCTGGAAAATGGAATTGCAAACAAAAAAGATAAATAACCGCAAGGTTGACTGACATGTGACGGTCTCGGCTCTTGGCTGTGCGTCTTTAGCCGAGGTAGATTCGAGGTCCATGCACGCAAGATTTTCCGAGAGATGGATTTTTGATTTTCTCGCACTCACTTTTCCTCCACGTGCTGCGGTGTGCTTCCTTGTCTGTGGCACTTTCAATGGAGCCACTAAACTTTTCACACGCGTATTACATGAGCTGATAGCGAATAACACATTCCACGCAGTGCACACGAATGGAAAATAAAAGCACGCTTTTCCTGCTTCCAGTTACATACCACCCCAGTTGGTGGGCCTGGGTGATAATGTTTATGGTGGCGTAACGTTGGGTTTTGCGTTCGAGACAGTAAATCAAACAGCAAATTAGATACGATCACGTTCGAAAACGGCGAGAATCGCGAAACTAGATCAGAACAGGATCGCTAAGATCACGAGCGGAGAAAGGTTGTACACACGTCCGTCCTGGTCGGCGATCAGTCTTGCAATGAGGAGAGTGAATTGCAATTTTCGTTCGTTCAGCCAGCATAGTCACTCTTTAGGCGGTGCGCAGCAGTGCAGAGCCCAAACAACGACGACGACGGGCGGCTGATCGGCGACGGGCGGACGGTTTGTTGCTTCGCGCACTCACTCACTGCACTGCACTGCATTGATATATGGGTGGTTGTGGTTTTCCGCAGTCTTTGTGTGGCTGTTCATATTTTTCCGATCTTTGATCAACAACCACCCAACACAATGACCGCAGCCTTGTAAGCACTGCTCTAGTGGACTCACTAGGGTGTGTTTGTGATTTGGGTGAAAATCAATTAATTAAGAAATCCGTCACTTTCATTGGGTCGATGGAATGTTGGATTATCACGGTCTCAATGAATGATTCAATAGGGGAGGATGGATAGATGAGCTGTTTTGAGCAATGATGGATTTTTTTCTCTTTTCTATTAATTTTATTAAGATCTCGTCTTTAATGAATTAAACTGCTAATCTTCGGTTTATAGTCTGTTATTTGAGTTTAGAAATCATGCACTTGGTCAAATGTGCATGTCTCTGCGAGGAGCCAGTAGAAACTTCCGGAGGAAGCTGGCAGAAACTACTGGCGGATGTTGGAGGACACTGCCGGGAAAAGTTTAAATCAATTTCATGCGGAACTCTGAATAAACTTCCCATGGAAATTGGGAGCCACTCTCACGGAGAAAGCCTGAAATTTTGTTTAGAGAAAGTTGAAAGAAATTTCCTGGGCAAGTTGCAAGAATCTTTAGTGCAAAGTTAGAGAAGCTGCCAGGTAAAGAAACTTCCAATCGAAACCGGTAGATGCTTGCGGGGCTGTGAGATATTTTCAGTGGACGTTGAAAGAGACTTCCAGAAAAAGTTTAAAGGAACTTCTGCGAGACAGAAGACAGAATCAATGGCTGTGACAGGGACTTCTGGGAATGTTGAAAGACACTTTCAGAAGAATTCAGAAGCGTCATCTGTGTGACGCCAGAAGAAACTTTTAAATAATAAATAATAAAAAAATATTTTCCGCTTTCAGTGGAGGCCAGTAGGACTTTTGGGTGAAGTCAGTGTTGTTGAAACTTCCGTTGAACGATGGAAGAATTTTCCAGGGCAAATTAGAAAAACTTCCAGGATATGTTGGAAGAAATTTCCGTGAAAATCCTTCAAAATAAACCAGTCAAAGGCTTTATATCATTTACACTTCGCAATTTCAAGAGCACACATATCAGCACTTACCTACACAACATACAACAAGGAAACTGGAACTTAACGTTTGCTGCAGTGCATCAAATGGGGACTTTCAATTTCATGAGCGGTGTCGCAACAGTGTCCGAGATTTATGTATGCTCTAGAAAACTTGAAGTGGGCTCTGCAAAGAATCATCTTAACCTTAAAGAGATATAATTGGTTTTCTCCTAGGACTACCTTAAAACTAGTTTATTGAGTTATTTAGTATTGTATTCATATATTCTACAAAGTTTTAGATAATATCAAAATAAGCAACTTTTCTGAAGACACCAACTATTTTTATGACACCAATGTGATAAACAGTGAATTTAAAGTTATAATATTTTGTCTAAGCTATTCTTTTTAATGTGGATGTTTGTGCACCAACTCTTAATGTCACTAAATTGAACATAATTGAAGGCATAAGCATACATAATATTAAAATCGGGACCCCTCTGTTACATTTTTTGACGTTGGATAACGTCTTTCGGCAACATACGGGGGTACAAAATTGAAAACAGTCATTTTGGATGCGTTACAAAAAATTAAAAGGTTTTGAACGATAATAACTCAACCGTCTCTCGATAGATTTACGAGATAATGGCATCAATCGATCGGAAATATTTATAGCAATTATAGCTGAATGTTTCAAAACTATTGATTTCATTCTGTAAACTATTCAAAAATGGTTAAAAGTAAACCATTGTCTAAAGATGGTGAAAATCGATTGATTTTTTTATATTCTTATACTTTCTCCAACCGAGACATCAGATGCGAGTATCTGACACCTCTGATATTTTCTGTTCTACTATATAAGCGTCCAACAAGGTCGCCCGTTCCATCACATTCTCTGCTTGATCGTCAAGCAGTTCAGTTCGGTGTTAGCTCGCTCTCTCGAGTTGTTTGAAAAGTTCATTGCGATAGTGTTCGCGCTCTCTCTTTCGCGGTTTGTCGTGCGTGTGTGTGTGCCCCGTAATGGGGAAGCATCGGTCGCGAAGCCCGGCGAAGGTCCAGAACCCCGGAGAAGGAAGCTCCGGTGTGCCTACCTCGAACAGGTTTGCTGTTCTCCCCATGGATGGGAATATCCAGCCAGCTGTGTTGGAAAAACGCAGTAAGAAGAGGAAGAAGAATCGAGGCCAGTCCGATGTCACTGCGACGAACAACAGCGATGTTGGAGATTTCGGTGACGCTGCCGAAACCGTGAATACTGCCGAAATGAGCTCGGCAAAAGTGAAGCTACCTCCATTGGTAGTGAAAAATGCCCATCTTAATGTGCTCATTGCGGATCTAGCGACGCTGGGTGTTAAAGCCGAATACAAGTTGGGCAGAGTCGGCACTAAAGTGATGCTCCGTACCAAAATGGAGTTTGACGTGGTCGTCGCCCACCTGAGGACTTCCAAGGTGGAATTCTTTACCCACGACATTCCCGGTGAGAAGCCGTTCAAGGTCGTCATCAGGGGCCTACCAAACTTCGACCCGAAGTTTATCGAATCAGAAATCAGGGACCGGTACAAGCTGGCCCCAAGTGCCGTGTATCGAATGACAAGAAGAGACGAGAATGTGAAGGCGTATCCGGATAGCCTTTTCCTGGTACACTTCCAGAAGGGAACGGTGACGCTCAACGCACTGAAAGCCATCCGGTCCATCAATTCCATCATCGTTCGCTGGGAGCCATACCGTGGCGGCCATCGCGATGTGACTCAGTGCCAGCGGTGTCTGAACTTCGGACACGGTACCCGCAACTGCAACATTAAACCACGGTGCGGAAATTGCGCTCAAGACCATGCCACCTCCGAATGTGCTGCGGATGAAACTGTGGCGTCCAAATGCGCCAACTGTGGTGGTGCTCACCAAGGATCCAACAAGCAGTGCCCTAAACGCGAGGATTTCAAGCGCATCCGAAATCAAGCGTCCACCAACAATCAACCAGCACGAAGGAAGGATAAGGCCCCGGCTTTCAGGACAGAGGACTTTCCACCTCTTCGTGGACAAGCGAATCCCAGGGTGCGATCCACGCCCCCTCAAGAAACGTCTGGATCTTCTGCTGGACAAAGCTCTCCATCCCCCCCTGGATTCTGGAGGCAACCAACAGCTCAAACAAACAATCCCGATCTGTTCTCAGCAGACGAACTGATGGAGATTTTTATCAACATGACCGGTGCTCTACGTAAGTGCCGCAATAAGCCCGAACAGATCCAAGTGCTCGGTAAGTTCATCATCCAATATGGTGTCTAAACCGCTAACCATCGCTACCTGGAACGCTTGCTCTGTAAGAGCTAAACAGATTGAGCTTGCCGACTTCCTCCGCAAGCATAGCATCGACGTGGGTCTTCTAACCGAAACCCACCTAAAGTTCGGTGACAGCTTCTGGTTGCCTGACCACAACATTATCCGGCTTGATCGCACCAGCTCCAGGGGGGGTGGTGTAGCGGTCATCGTCAGAAAGGGAATCAAGTTTTGCACTCTGCCCCACATCCGCACTTCTATCATCGAGGCCATTAGTGTGGAGGTGGAATCACCAACTGGAAACGTCCGGTTCATCGCTGTTTACTGCCCACGCCAGTGTACCGCAAGCAACGGATTAGGAATCCAATTCAAGAAGGACCTGACCGCCATCACCCGTACTAGCTCCCGATTCATCGTTGGGGGCGACCTGAACGCCCGCCATGAAGCTTGGCGGAACTACCAGAGGAATCGAAACGGATTTCTATTGTTCGACCACGCACAACATGGACTGTACACAGTGCAATTTCCGGACGAGCCAACTTTCATCTCTCCAGCGGGAAATCCCTCCACGCTAGACTTTTTCCTGTCAAACATCGGACTATCCAAGCCGGAGGCGCACAACGATCTCAGCTCCGACCACCAACCGGTGGTGACTGAAGTCGGTGTCAACGTGGTTCCTGCTAGAGGCTGCCTGCGTAAAGACTACCACCATGTCAACTGGGTGCAGTACGGTCGAATGGTGGACAGCAACATCGATGAAAATCCACTACTCGACACCGTAGATGACATCGACCGGGCGTTGGAAGGACTCCAACAGGCCATATCCCAGGCTGACGAGACATGCGTTCGACAAGTTCCTGTGAGGGGTAAGTTTGTTGCTATTGATTCCCACACCCAATTATTGATTCGATTGAGAAATGTGCGTAGACGCCAGTTTCAGAGGACTGGAGACCTGGGCAAAAAACGTGAAATGGCCGATCTGAACAGGCAGATTGCTTCCAGAATGGACTCACTCCGAAATGAAAGTTTCGGGCGTGTTGTCCAGAATCTGGACGACCGCTCCAGACCATTCTGGAAGGTAGCCAAGGTCCTGAAAAATCATCCCAAACCCGTTCCACCTCTCAAAGTCGAAAATGATGACGATCGGCTTTTAATTACCCCACAGGAGAAAGCAAATGCGATCGGCAAACATGTCGCTTCATCGCATTTGCTTGGCTCGACTATCCAAAGTCCGCTCGATGATCAGGTTGCGCAATGCGTTCAAAACCTAGATGCCTCCCCTTGTGTCGTGCCTCCGGCGGATATGATTACAGTACAACAAATTTGCTCAGCGCTGAAATGCACCAAGAACATGAAGGCTCCCGGGTTTGACGGTATATTCAACTTGATATTGAAGAGACTCAGCATGAAAGTGCAGTCTCTTCTAACCGCTATCTTCAACAGATGTTTGGAACTGCACTACTTTCCAAGCATCTGGAAAGTAGCAAAAATCATACCAATCCGCAAACCCGGTAAGGATCCAACATTGCCTTCAAGCTACAGACCAATCAGCCTCCTTTCAGCGCTGAGCAAATTGTTCGAGAAACTTATTCTCAATCGTTTGCTCAAGTTTGTCGAGGAAAA